ACCCCACTTAATCTCCACTGGGAAGGTCCACCCACGGCTAGCTCCACAATGAAGATTTTAACTATTAAATTTTTACCCTCCGGCTTTGCTTTGCTTTGGAACTTAGCTCCAAAGAAATAGAAGATTGAGGGGTGCATAGATCTCTTCGAGACTTCTACTTTTCAGAAGAGAGTTGCCTCGTAACCTTCACAAGGAGTCCAGTTCCTAAATGCTTTTGTAATCATGATTTATGCTAATTACAGAGCTTTTAGAATAAGCTCCAAGAAACACGGGAGAATTTCTTATCTCTCCCTTTTTTAATATAAGTGAACTCGAGTCCTTCAAAAAAAGTAAGAAATTTTAAATCAAATAATATCACGTCAATACACGACTAAGAATATTTTATATAAAATAATCTCTTTAGAGGAAGCTTGAGAGAAGAGGTCAGTGCCCCTAAAATACAGCCGTAAAACCGATAGTCTGTTCTAACTTCATCAATATCCTTTTATTTGTCTTAAAATGTTCTTCTATTCTTCTCGGTTCTCCAAGTAATGGCCAAACATAAAGCTAAACTTAAGTAATTCCAAGATATCATTTTTCTTTATCCTCACATTACCCCACATCCCAACAAGAGAAAATATGCTTCCCTAGAAAAATCCAGAATACATCAAAATGAAAAGGAAGCCTACAGCATAGCTTATAAGCAAAACCACGGAAATGGTAGAGATGAATAGTTTATTCACAAGCAGCGTAGTAATAAATACACCAATATGGTAAGAGAGAACATAATCGACTTCCCTTTCGAAAAAATACAAGTAATAAGTTTCAATCTTTCCAAATGATACATGCAATAAAACAATTCTAACCAATCAAAGAAGCTACAGCATAAAAATTTCCATCTCTCACATACTCAAAGATAATTTCATTTTCAGTTTGAATACCATGGAAACAGTGCTACTTCATCTCAAGAATATCAATATTCATCTCCAAAGTCTTTAGAACTTCCAATTGAAGATCTTTGTGAGGAATACTTTGAGGAAGACTTTCAGATTCTTTTTAATGACCAAAAAGAAGGTAAGAAGTCAGAAATTCCAAAGCAGACATTCCGCCCTCCTTATTTTGAAGAAATGGGATCACCCTTGTACTGATTAGCATGGTTCTTCAAATATCAAGGTGTTAGAGAAGCTGAAAGGTTTACAATTAAGTTTTTGATTTTATGTGCAGCAACGCAGTTGGGTTCCTCATTTTTGCTTGGTTGGAATTTGTTTTTTTCTGGTTTCAAGAGGCTTTTGTGGGTCTTGCCAGGGTTTCTCTCACGGCAGCTTCATATTCTTTGTCTGGCTGTTTTTTATCGGACTTTTGCCAGCCTTCTTTTCCTTGCAGCAGGGAGCTTTTTCTCCCTAGTTTGGCTGATTTTTAAGCTTTTTTCAGCTTTCAAGGAGCGTCTTTATTGCCCTTTGGTTTTTGAACAGTGCTTCTTGGTATTTATCTTGGTTAGAAGGAGTTTCTATGGAAGGGCCTCTTCTTATTCCTTGGCTTTTCATCCTTTGTGGTGGTTCTCAGTCTTTCTGCAATAATATTGAACCTCGAAGAGTTTCTTATATAAGTTTTCCTCATTTTTTAGGAGCTTATTTTAGGCTGTTTGAGTTTTTGAAGAGTCCCTTTGGTCTTCCTTTTCATGGTGTTTTTATGGCTTCTCCTCCATTTGTTTCAAAGGATGGTATAGTTCTTAGGGAAGAATTAATCAGCTTTCGGGTTGAAAAGCGATGCAGTTTTCTGGGAAATTTTGAAGATTCTAAAGTTGGTGTAGAAGATTCTCCTCCTTCGGATCCCTCTTCATTTTTTAAGTCCCTTGGTGTTTCAAGATTTGTTTTTTGATTTGTATTTGGGTCTCTTATGTTTTCTGTTTTTACTATTTTCTTCTTTAACTCCTTGGAGTTTTTATTTTGAACAATTTTGTTCTTTTTCATTCTTCAATGAAAAGTTGTTAAAAAAAAAGATTTGTTTTTTGATGGTCTTCAGTTGCTCTGGGTGGTCCTTGGCTGATTTTTGCTGCTCCTCATTGTTGTTTTTATCTTTCTTGTTCATTTTGGTTGTATTTTCCTTTCCTTCTCTAGTGTTCCCTATTTTCTTTTTCTATCCCTTTGGGTGATTGTATCCTTTGAGCATCTTGTTCCTTTTCATTAATTAACGAGAAGTTGTATCTTATTTAAAAATATATATATCGATATTTTAGTTATTATTTTAGTTATTATAGTATCATCTCAGTCCAGATACCACACAAGCACAAGCAAACACATGGATCAGTATACACAAAAATAACTTACAGCAGCAGTAACACGTTCCTTCTGAATCAGGTTGTGAATGTATCCAGTTTCTTTAAGAAAGGCGCTAGTATCCAAGGAATCATCTGTGCTTATTATACTGGTAGCAAGTATTGATTTGCAACAGCTTACAGTTTCTCGAATCAAATGTGATATGACATGAATGCGAACATCATTATTTAACAGTCTGAACTGTGACCTAACAGCCAGCAAAGACCTGGGCACAACATTAATTTTAATTAGCTTCACAAGCATAAGAAACATCCCATATAGGATGGCTCCATGAGCCATACACCATAATAAAGAGAGAGAAGCATTACCAGATGAACAGCAGCAACCTATTTTTGTTTTGTTCATCATCAGTAGCCAAAACAGAAGGTAAAAGTGAAATGACCTGCTGCACACATCGTGATGCTTTTTCTAGAGGAGACTTGCAAATGTATAGTATTACAAGTCGAAGAATAATTCTTGGGAACTTCTCCCCACGCAAAAGCATGGCCTTATCAACATTTTTGTTTGGTTTTCCTCCCAATGCACTGCCTATGCCTCCTGATACAACAACTGCAGCCATCTCTGCAGCAGGAATGTTGAGTGACTCAACTAATCCACGGGCTCTTTGGCCCAATGTAGGACCTGCTGGTGTTGATTTCGGCAATGTTTTGTTTGGTCCCTTGCCATTTATCGCACTAATAATAATCCATACTTTATCGTAAAGATACCACCACTTCTCATCCATCTTGTCATCTTTAACTTCCATTTGATGCTGTGAATGTCTAAACATGATATAAAGCAACGACAGTATTATTGGATATAACAAGGCACTTCCATAAAATAAAACGTAAGAAAGATGAATGCATGGGTATATCAAAATTCAACAGGAAAGAAAAAATTAAGCATTATTTCTTAAAGGTCCATGAGACTTTTTGTTCGTAGTTATCTTTATCATTTTGTTCGTAGTTAGTTTGATTCTATTATTGGCTGTTGATATCACTCTTATTTTGATTTTATTGCTCCTTGTCGAGCCTATTTTTCATCCCTTCTTTTTTCTCTCACCCCTACGGGAGTTTGTATCCTTGAACTTTTTATCATTTTTATATATCAATGAAAAGTTGTTTCTTGTTCAAAAAATTTCTTAAAGGTCCATAAGTATTAGATGAAGAATGTCTTGACTATTTTTTTTCTAATAATATACTAACTTTTTATTGATAGATTAAAAGGAACAAAAATGATTAAGGATACAAACTCAGGAGTGAAAGCGAGAATAAAGAAACAAAGAAACTAATAAGAAATAAAACATCCCAAAATTAACAAATAATACTAGAAGAATAATTCACAAATAAATGTCTCGACTATGTAACACAAAACAGAGCTTCTGATAGTGTTGAAGTTGATATTTAAGTATTGGGTAGAAAGTTCTTCGACAATATCTTCCTGCAAGCAACATACTGGGCAGAAACTGTGATGTTTACAAACTGTTAGAGTATATAGATTAGTATATTTTATATTCTTGTATTAATATTAATTTGTCATTTACCTTCTTCTTATAGGATTAGGTCAACCTTGTATATTTGTCTATATATATAGACTTTAATAATGAGAATATAGAATATTGGATTCTCTCCCACCTTAGTCTCTACACAAACCAAAAAGTTTGGATATGCAAGAAGATACCATTCCTTACGAGAGTGAAAAAAATATGAATATACATACATAGAAGACCCGAAAATCAAATTGATTTAAACCAAAGCAGACAAAAGAGAATTTATTAGGTCCAAAGCTGCAGTTATTTGATTCATTTCAGTTTAATTCTTCAGTTGGCTAAAAAATAGCTGAACTGAACCAAATCAAACAACTTCCATAGTATAACAACCTTCAACCTTAAACTGAGTGTTTGAAGTACTTCCAAAAAGTAGAGTTTTGGTGTCCATCAAAAGATTCTAGCTTCCTCCGTGGTTTCAACACTATCTAAAATTATTCTTGATCTGCTAAGCTTCTAGGTTGCATATTCTCTTCAGTGCCAATAACAAGGTTGCAATTTTGAAAAGTTAGTGCTCTAAAGTTTTCTGCTACTTCCAAAAGTCCTCCTTGAGTGTACAAGTTTAATAATTATTGAGACTAAATCTACTCCCACCAACCATGATGTTAAGTTTTCCAGATAGGAAGGAGGATTTCTTACGTTTGTTATGTATTACTTCAAAGAAGTCATAGACCACACCCTCAATCAAAATACAAATAAAATTCCAATATCAGCACCCCATATATAAGCCCTGGAGTCCAACGCAGACAGAAAGGAGGGGCGGAGAAGGGGGGAAGAGATAGAAGTACCTTGTCGTCCAGTCATCAGATTCTCCTCGCAAAACATCATGTAAGGCAGAAATGTAAAGCTCCAGTTCCACGGAATCCAGAGATATATCAAAGATGGTCGCTAGAATCTGCATGGACCATGAATAAAACCAGAAGTAGTAAACTGAAGCTCAAAATCACTATATAAACAGAAAAGTAACCCAGAAAATTTGATCATCAGTGGACTGGAATAGGATTCTCCATGAATAACATATGTCTTCAAAGAAGAACTAGAAACCCAAATTTAGTGAAATTTTATTTAATTTAAAAAGGGAGATAATAAACTTTAGACAAACAAAATTTTAATATTTTAGATGATGAATTGTCATTACTAGATGAACATCATAAATTTAGTGAAGTTAAAGGCATGTGATTTTTCCCAAAAAGTTTCAACGTCAACTTAAATAACTCAATTAATAACTCCATTGAAACATTTCAAACTGTTTTCTCGAGCATGCTTTTTATGAAAAGTTGATGAAGTAGTTTTAATTATTTTCAAGTATGGTTTGATATTTGAATCACTCTTGGGAGCTGCCACAAAATTTCAAGACCTCGCAAAAAGATGAAGGAAATGATGGAAATTAAGCTTTGTCTCATAGAAATCATGGAAGATGTTTGCAAGAAAAACTCTCCTGAAACCAACAGCAGTTGAAATTTTTTATACAAATGAAAAATTTAGAATAAATTTAGTATTATCGAACTTTAATCAGCTACTACTGGCCATTGCTTCTATCATTAGTATAATCTCAGTGAGAAGCAACGTGCTATTGAATTGAAACTAAATCTAGCAGGCTAAAAACATTTAAGGTGTGCAGATTGACCACCATTTTACAAAAACCAAAAATATTTCAGGTGTGAAAATTGCGTATATAATTAGATTATATCAATTACTTCCTAAAATGCATTCTGATGAGGAAATTTCAAGTGTTGAGTTTTCAAGTGATGGGCACGTTTTAGAAAGGTGACAAAGAGTACAGGAAAATTGTTGAAAAAAAATAACAAATGCGTGAATAGAAATACTGTATTGTAAAAGAATCTCAGAGAAGCGAACTACCGGCAACTGATGGTCAATTTCAGCTATAAGCATATTGTCAATAAGCTTTAGAAGGTATAATGTATTATCTCGACATGGCTGTGTAAGAAATATATTCTCCCCAGATGATAAATCCACTAGCATCTGAATCAGGTCCTCATACATATCACGAAGTAAATACTTAAAGGAGACTTGGCCCTGGGAGGATATATCATGAAAAACAATAAGTTATAAACTACAGTTTCTGAAACATATGGGAGAGCAACAAATTATGATAATAGTATAATACGAGAAAATACTCCATATGGTACATTAAAAAATATCTTGTACATCATTAGATTCGTTTTAGTCATATTTTAGATACCTCTATCCAGTAGTTTGTTACTCAACTTTTTACATCTTTTACTTCAAACAGCGATAGATAAATTTAACTAAAGATAATTCCTTATCTTCTAGAATTAAAATATCTAGGTTTGTGGGGAATATCGTCATTTTCAGATAGAAACTCGATTCTATTATTGATATGCTGAGAAAAAATTACAGGCCCAAGAGAGAATTCGAGAGCTTCCTATTCTCTCCACACTATTACTTACCAAAACAAGCAAAAAGATACTCCGTCCCCTCTTTCCTAGAGAATTCGAGAGCTTCCTATTCTCTCCACACTATTACTTAACAAAACAAGAAAAAAGATACCCCGTCCCCTCTTTACTAGCCGAGATATACCCTACGCTAGTAATACCATATTTGCTCATCTAACTAACTTGAGCCCCACCGCTCTAACATAAAGCCTCACATCCCCTTACATCAACTGCTCTCCACCTCGTCCCCTCTTTCTAGAGTATACCATTCTAATGGGGCTTATCATTATCTTTCCCAAAGAAAAACCTTGCGAAAATCTTGAAACTGTGCTTTAATAGTTTCAATGGATTCCCAAGTTGCTTCTAGCAGTGTTCCATCTTCCCAATAAACTAAAACTTCCGATTGAGCAGACTCCCAAAATTTCAAAATTTCAGATACACCCATTTGCCAACTGTCAACTTCACTTCACGGCACTTCGCATTGGCTTGGTCCCTCGCACATTGTTGGGCAGCTAGCAAGCGTGTCTTTAGAATTTTGATCATTATCCCAATCCTTTAGTTACTGATCAATAGCAGAAATATGAGACTCGTTCGCAATAGTACATTTCCAAACAGTTGGCTTGCTGATAAATAGTACATTTCCAAACAAAAACAAGAACACATTTCACAATAGTACATTTCCAAATACTTGGCTTGCTGACAAATAGTACATTTCCAAACAAAAACGCGAACACATTTCGCATTCCCTTCCAATACACTTCACTGCTCAACCTCTGAAGTGTCTTTAAAAACTCCCATGGCCACCGATTGGAAAACAATGGAACTCCTGAAGAAGTAAAGGAATAGAAAGGGATTCAAGTGAAAGGACCAACCTACCTCTGTAATATGGATTCCCTTTTTTAAGTGTGTAGCCCTTAGAGACCTCCCTGCCCTCAAATCCTAAACAAGTTTAGACAACTTTTCATCCCCATGGATGTCATTATCCATTGAAAAACCTTTGAATTCCCCCATTACAGGTTGTTGAGATAAGGCGTCGTTGCCTTTGATGCAATCTTGCACAAGGATTTTGATAATAATTCAATAGCTTCTCATTAATGAGATTGAACCTATTTATAGAGGTTTCAATTTAAGTAAACCAAGGACAACAAGAGTTATTGTGCAGTAAATGTAAATCCAACTTAAACAAAAGCTACAGCTAGGCTATGTGAAAGATAAATGCTATTTAACAGCCAACTAATTACATCAGCCTTCTTTTCCAGTCTCAGTTGTATTTAATATCAAATCGTATCCCAACAATTTGGTTATCCAACATTGACATTCCCTCGGGTTAACCCTCTAATCCAGTAGAAATTTCAATGCCTTTTGATCTTTACGCACCGTGAACCTTCGACCCAATAAATAAAGTTGCCATTACCACGGCTATCAATTCATGCTCAGAACAGGGTTGAAATATGCAAGAGGACACTAAACTTGCATTACTACCATACCCAATCCTACTCCCAAAGCATCTAATTCAATTACAAACTTCTTGGAAAATTCGGCAATCCCAAAACAGAAACAAACTCATCTCATGCTTAAAAGCGTCAAACGCACCCTCTACCTCAACCAACCACACAAAGTTATCTTTCTGAAGAGCTTGAGTAAGAGGAAAGGCTAACATACCATAATTTTCCAAGAATTTTCAGTTATACCAAGTGAGGCCCAATAACCCACGTAGTTCCTTAAGATTGGTTGGGTGAGCCAATTAACATTAATGTAATCTTTGTGGGATCCATTGCTACTCCTTTTCCCGAAACAATATGACCCAAATATTCAATCTGCGGTAGTCCAAACTGACACTTGTTTGGATTGGCGACCAGTTGATTTTCAGCTAACGCTCCCAAAACCGCACACAAATGTCCATAATGATCCTGAATGGATATGTTGTAGACCAAAATATAATTTCAAAAAAAAAAAAACAATCGTAATGGCCGTCGTAGGTTTTGAACTTACGTAGGAATGGCCGAAGAATATCATTCATCACAGATTGGAAGGTTGAAGGAGCGTTACGAAGTCTGAAAGGAATTAAAGGGAATTGTTAAAAATTCGTAATGGCCGTCATGAGTTTTTGATGCTGTTTTAAGTTTTTATTAGTTGGGCATACCCAAATTTAGTTATATCTTGATTTGAGATCAATCTCAGAGAAAATTGTTGCCCCAAATAATTCCTCCACCACAAAAATCTGAAATTGTTCTCGAACAGTCACCCTATTCAAGGCACGATGGTCCATGCAGAAACGTCAACTACCATCTTTCTTATGAAAAAACGCCAACTACCATCTTTCTTTTTTTATCAACAAAATAAAGCTGGAAAATGTGCTCGTGCTAGGCTGTAACCCAGCTAAAAACATTTCTTGCATCAACCTTTCAATCTCATCCTTCTTAAACCATGGGTTTCAATGGGACAGACATTAACTGGTCTATGGGCAACAGCTCAATAGCATGGTCCTTCACTCAAGCGAGAGGCAACCTATCGATCAGTTTAAAAAAAACATTCGCAAGTTCTTCTAATACTTCCTACAATTCACCTTGGCTATCGAAGTTGTGGGCCTTCTGCCCTTCTTAATCACCCCTCAATCACACCCCATATTCATTAAGGCACACATAATAGCTTGGATCCTTTTCATGACTATTCTCACAATCGCCCAATTCAAACTCCATCATAAGGCAGCTCCACTCGATATTCACAGCCCCTAACGTCAACAACCATTGGACTCCTAGAATCATGTCAACCTTGCGCAAGGGAATCGGCAAAAAACTCTTGAATTATCGTCAACTCCAAAAAGGTCAACACCACATCCTTGCATATTCCGATCCCCTTACTGCATCCCCAATGCCCAAGATTATATCATACTCCGACGTTTCACTCCTGAGTAATTTCAACTCTTTTACCAATTCCACCGAGATAAAATTGTTCTTCTCTCCAATGTCATTCAAGACTATAACTTCTTTTTTTGCAATTACCCCTTTCACCTTGGGCGTCTTGGTCTTGGGCAATGCCAATGCCCAATCCCATAAATGAATTCAACGTCTTTCCCTTCCTTCTATGTCTCGTCGCCCACGGCCTCAACAGCATCTTCAAACTCCTCAGTAAACATCTCGGATTCTTGTATCACTAGACTTGCAGCTTTTTCTTCTTACATCTGTGCCCAAAAGTACACTTTTTAGGGCGAGCCCGTGTGGTTATGGGGGCCCACGTGCTCTAATCCTCTGAGCTACAGGCCCCACCCCGTCTCCACTGGATCTGTTCCCGGGGGTACCCCGGTCAATCGTGCTTGTCAGCCTTCATCACCGCAGGGCGACCCGACTGAACAAATGCGGTGACGCAGGCCCCCGTCAATTCCTTTGAGTTTCGGTCTTGCGACCATACTCCCCAGGCGGAGTGTGAGTTGGGACAGCCTTTTTTTTTATTTGTTTAAATTAATCCATTCTCTTTCAATTCGCAGTTCGCTATCTGATAACCTTCCAAAGAAGTCATTTGTTGTACTGGCATCCACTTACCAGCTATCTCACCTACCTTTGACACATTAGTGCGGCTAGGGCTTAAAGTTACAGTTTGTGCGGACCCATTTGAATTTCCACCTAATTTCCTCTACTCGTAGACCTGACTGGACCCACTTCTAGAACTAGGCCATATGACCCAAACTAGCTCATATTTATCCCCTACCAGTTGGGCCATTTCCATCATTTCCTAGAGCCCATTAGATTTCACACTCACACTTCTTTCCTTAATCCATCGTTAAGCCCATTAATGAAAAGACCCTCCAACATGAATTCTAGCACCCCATCCACTAGTCGATCATATTCCTAAAAGCTCCATCAATAATCCATCCATCATTGTCATCGAACAGCCATGAACTTCTCACATTGTACCCTCTAATGTTGGCTGAAACCTCTACAACAACAGCAATTGGAATTCTTCCCAAGTCTGAATTGGTCGTCATTTCTCCTCCCACTAATGCCAAGCTAAGGCCTCCCCATCTACACACAGTACCGCAGCCTTGAGTTTCTCTTTATCTATAAGCCGATTGATGACAAAATACCTAGTGACCCTGTGTCCATTAGGATTTGTGCCTTAAAAAATCGAAACCTCCTCCTTTCGCAGTCGCAAGTCAAAAAGCAGAGCTAATGTGTTATCGAGCTGATTTGACCCCATGCTCAACTTCTCAGTATTTTCCAGATTTTTTCCTCCCACCAGGTCTTCCCCACCAAAGCCTTTCCTTTGTCTTCCTTAGTTTTCTCCCCCAACATCCATTTTTTGTGCAATTCCCATCATCCAGAGATGCATCTCCTCTTTAAATAGTGTGATCTCCTTCTTCATCGCTCCCTACCTCTCCTCCATCATCATCAATTTACCCTTTAAATTTTCTGTTCAATAGCGTACACACGATTTTCCATTTTCTTACCTGTTACCAGTCCCCATAACCACTGCTCTGATACCCAAATGATAGAACCTCGATCCTATTATTGATATTCATAAAGGAAATTACAAGGGCCAAGGAAAAATACGAGAGCTCCCTATTCTCTCCATAGTCCATACTACTACTTACCAAAACAAGCAAGCCAAGATATACCCTACACTGCATAATATTATATTTGCCATTATATCAGCTACCCTCCCCCTTGTCCCATCCTTCTAAAGTATACCTTTCTAATCAAGGTTCTATCACTTTCATGGCCTTGTGGGTTTAAGTCTAAGGTTTTTTTTTGTAATTACTCCATTTCTACATTGTACGCTAGTTTGAGAGTCAGTATACATCTCAGTAGCTCCTCATCGCAACTCCTAGAAATGATTTAAATGTCAAAACATAATTAAAAAAGAGGACAAAATTATTTTATAAGATGATCAGATTTAGAGTTTTGACATTCTCTTAATTCATTACTAAATCGAACAAATAACTTATGGGACCTTTGAACAAGGCTATCAAACATAATTTCCCTATCGTATTTTAGCACAACCGAAATATTCTTAAATCACCCAGGATCTCAACCCAATCGCACATTCCAAAGCATCATTCTAGAAGCACATTTCCATAAAATTTCATTTGCTTTAATGATAACAGTTCTCTTTTCAAAGTGAAGGCACCCCTTTGGAAAACAAATGTTTCCACCTTAATTTTGCTAAAACAAGTTCTCCACAAAGCATCAACAAAGATGTTTTGGTATTACCCAGCTAATACCAAAATATACCAACAACTGCCTTTTAAAGGGTGTTAGAACAAGAATGAGTAACCATAACATACATCATAAAAAATGTCAAAAGAATTCAACATACTTTCTTGGAGTGCATAAGTAGGAAAGTTGCTGTCTCTTCTAATTGTTGCCAGCCACCCTTCACAGAACATGTGTAGTGGAAAAGGACAACAGAATATAGTTTCCTTAGAATACGTTGCTCATTTATCTTATTGTCAACTTGATCTAGTGACTCAACTTTGTACTGCTGCAAAGCATCAAGCTTTACAGAGGCCGTCAACCAAGCATTCCACCCATATTCCTATTACAATGTTATAGTAAATAATGAGGAAATATGTTAAATTTAATAATTTAATTTTAATATCAAAAGTTTAGCTGACAATACCATAAAAGCTTCAATATTTGAAGGATTTGAATCAAGAAGATCAAGCAGATCTGTGATTATTTTTAGTCTTGTAGAAATATCCTCACAGCTACATAGGAACCTGAAAATAAGAACTAAACTCTGCGGAACAGAAAAATGAGATCCAGGAGATTTGTTTTTTGGTCCATCAGTCTGATATTGTTTCTGCAAAACCTATTAGAAATTGAAATGTTTAGAATTCTCGGAATGCAGCATAAATATAACTCAGATAAATATGTCTCATGATTAATTTGAAGGTATAAACACCTGTTTGGGACTCGCACCCCCTAGAAGAACATCAAACAAGGCAGCACATAAATTGTCTGTAGGTGGAAACCTAAACAACCTGTCGGATATAGCTGAGAACAGTGGTTGCATCCTTAAACTAGTTTTTTTATGGCTATCTAAAAGATATTTAGATTTTCCACTTGCGAGATTGAAAAATCTTAGTCCTTTCTTCTCAGAAGGAAGACCGACCAAAAGTCTACCAAGGAACTGCAAGCTAAGCAATCTGACAGGCTCAAACTCCCTACAAAACAAACATAAAAAGATAAGTTTCTCTTCATATGTTACAAAAGCCTCACTCCAAACTATAAACATGATGCCACGAACTGCTCGAGATAGGTTTAAATACTGATTAAAAGATACCTCACTAGACCTTGAGGTTCTTTAAAGAAGAACCACTATTTTTTTTAACAAGATACTAACTTTTTGTTGAAAAGATGAAAAGGAACAAAATTGTCCAACGATACAAACTCTCGAAGGAGTAAAAAAGAAAAGCAGTAAAAGAGAGATTCAAAGAGACAAATTCCCTAAGGAAGTGAAAAATAGCAAGAAGCACAAAAAAGCCCCTAGAGCTAGAACAAAAACTAAAGGAGTTTTTTAAAGAGGAACCACTATTAGAATTGACCTATATATTCCTTTTCTTTTGGCCGTTAAGGGCACACTAAGGAACCTTAGTCTTTCTTTTTCAAAAAAAAAGAAGGAACCATTGTCTTTCAGCCTGTTACTCACTCTTAACTATCATCATCGATTGCACCATGTCTATAGATTCCATCCATCGATTCCAGTGCTAAGAGTTAACATCCAGGATTCAATGATGGAATTCTAACAATGACGTGATCAAGAGATGGGTATGAAGACATGTCAAGTAGCACATAATGGCAAGTCAAGGCAGAGATCATGTGGCCAGATAAGTGGGTCCCACTCCCACATTGTGACTCACCACTCTTAATATTCATGGGTGAAAGAGTGAATATGTCCTAAAATGTCCCGTAGAAGGAGCATGGTCAATTAAAACAATCACATCCATGAAGCAGTTTCTTGTTTAAAAAAATATTTGAAGGATGTCGAACTATTTCGTTGCTTATAAGTATAAGTACATGTCAATTAATCACTTTAGTCAGCTCTTGAGCTTATAAAGTCCAAGGAGAAATCCCTCCAAAGCTCTCAGTTCTTCTCGGTGAATTATTTGCAAGGACAGTGGTGAGGAAGCAAATCACTTGTTCGTTTCCTACGCTGTCTTGGCCAGCCTTTAGTCATCCTTTCATAGACTTCCAAGTTCCTTCGGTGCAACATAGAGACATCAAAGCCATGCTATTCCAGATTTTCTCCAGCAATCCTTTCCCAGACCAGAAACGCACCCTATGCTCCTAACCAATGCTGCTATTTGCTGGGTAATCTGCCTTGAAAGGAACAAATAGAAAGCCCCTCGATCAAAGTCTGGGTGGACGTTACTTCCCGACTTTGTGGGCCCTTAAAACTAAGGCATTTTGTAATTACCACTTTTTAATGTTATTATCTAACTGGCGAGGGTTCTTATAATCTCCCATCTTTTGTACTCTATACTTTTTTCAATGAAATCTCCAGTTTCTTATCCCCCTAAAAAATAAATAATTAACTAATCAGCTCTTTCAAGCTTATTGTCACCAGATGGAGTACTGCATTGTGATAGTGTTGGATAAGGAATTAAGACAACACTATACCAGAAGGAAATTCAAGTTTAAGCTATAAGAATCTCTAACTCTAATGTCTTCATTTTCCTCAACAACAACAACAACAAAAAAAAAATTCTAAAATGGAATTTAATGTTGAAAGCAATAATACCTCTGAAGAAGATTGACAAAAATTGGACATCCACCAATAAGATTAACTTGCTCATGGAAAGAAGCAAGAACTGTCTTTTGAGCTATGGCCCTAATTACCATATGCAGAACATCCTCGATGCATGTCACATCTTGACTTCTTTCAAAAAAAGCAATAAGAGCTTTTATATCAGTTGCTACAATATTTTGCCTGCAAAGGACAGTAATAATGATGTATAAAGAGATTGCATAATCTTCCATGAGAACGTATCATTGAAAGAATAAAGAGGACTTGATGCAAAACTTTCAACAAAACAAGGCATGACTCTTGAAGTAAGGTGCTATACCGAATGCTCATTTCCCCAAGGCTTAGTAAAAGAAGACGAATTTTCCGTATTTCATCCTTAGTAGGCCTTTCTCCAAGAACTTCAATAGATGAATGCAGAGGAGTCTTGCTTCCAGGAGCAAATTTAAATTTAGCATTGTCACAGTAGAACTTACAAATTATATCAAGAATAAGTGGAATCCGGCAGAGATTCTTGAGCAACCTAGGATCATTATCAAACTGCTGAATGAGAAATAAGTATAATTCGCGCTGCACCTCATAAGCAGAGTAGATCCAGATTGAGGGATTAAGAAATATGACAGATATAGCATCTTGAGTGAGCAGCTCAGAAAATCCTACACAAATAAAAAAAAAAACCATATAGTTACGAAATTAAAACCAATATAAGAATCTGATCAAATAAGAGAAAAAAAAACATGAATTGTATACCACAGTTTGCAATGACATTGAAAAGATGCTTTAAAGCTGCGAGAGTTTCCATATTAAGTTGCTGTGGATTGACCGATTGCAGCAAAAATCCCAGAATGGAGAATCCAGAAAGAAGATGCATCTGATGTTGGTTTGGTAAGTTCTCATCCAGAACAGATGCAATAAGTTCAATAACTTCAGCTGTTAGACACTCTTTTGTGCCAAGTATATCTACATTCTGATCAATTTGTCCATTATTTTCACTTTCATATCTGTCAGACTGAGAAATTAGAGGAAAAAGTACAGTGACACCCCCAACACAGTAAATAATCCGCTGTAGTAAGCGTCTCGAACATAGCTCTGTGCCAACCATGACAGTAGCTTCAAAATTATTCTTTTCTGAAATGTGATCTAATGTTGGTGAAACATTAAATAATGATTTTCC